TTGTGTGGGTGTGGGTGGGTGGGGGGGGGTGGGGGGTGTGGGTGTGGGGGTTTGGGTGTGGGTGTGTGGAGGTCAGAACAGGATGTCTTATGTCTTCTATTGCTTTCCCCACTTTGTGTTGAGACAGTCTCCCTGGAAAGCTTGTGGTTTGGACTAGACTGGCTAATCAGGGAGCTCTTCGGATCTGTCTGTCTCTGCTGGGGTTACAGGCACATGCAGACTTGCCCGGCTGTCTACCTGGGCACTGGTTCCTTATGCTTGAAGAGCAGGTGCTCTTACACACTGACTCATCTTCCCAGTCAGTCCTTCACCCCATCTTGAATCTCAATTCTGGTATTTAGTGTCAACAGTGCAGAATGTTCAGTGTACACATTGGTGTGGATGGCTCTTGTTCAGGCTGGAAACTGAAGCAGCTTCATTGGATTAGGCCTCTGGTGAGACCAGTCTCTGCAACCACCCACTGCTAACTACCTTTCAGATGGAGAACTGTTCTGGTGCTGCAATTTAGCATCTTTCAGGGGAGCCAGTGTGGAATGGGGGGTCTGGTAAACTGAGGTTGGAGCCTTCTTTTGAGTCTTGGGCAGGTTCTGGAATCAAATCTGGTTCAGATTCCTGCCTGCCTGTTCTTCAGTGAGTAACTGTGGGGAAATTGCTCTACTTTTCTGAGTCCCACTTTCCTAAAGTTAAAGTCGAAGTTTTTTTTTTTTTTTTTTCCATTTGTAGAATTAATTACCAGTTACTTTAACCTCTTAGTGAAAGTTTTTAGTAATCAGAGGATTTGCCCACAGATTCATTGATACATGCATGCTATTTTGCCTAGTGTTTGGGCTGAGCAATCTGTTGAGACATTACCCAAACACCTTTTCACTATTAAATTTTATCTGTCATGTGACAACTAAAACAGCAGTATCATTTTAGGCTGCTACTTTTACTTCGGGGTTAGAACGTCTGGTGAGGAAAAAAATGCACTAAGTTTAGGAGGCTTCACTCCAAGGTTAGCTTGCCACTTACAGGTCGTATATTTGCATTTGTTACTGGACACATTTAAAAAGTTAATAATCAGCTGATAACAGGGCCTTGGTTTATAACAGGGAAGCACTTTAACACCATGCCAGTAATAGAAATATAATGCATCATTGTGGATAAGGTGTAGAATGTACCATAAAATACAGTAGTAGAAAAGTAAGATCATGAGGTTTTTCTCGAAACCTCATTTCTCAAAGAAAGCCATTTCTGGTCTCTTGTAGGTAGGTCTGTTATTTTCACTTGAACAAAAACATTCGTTTCTTTGTTCTTGTAAGACAGCACATAAATCTGCTGTGGAGGTATTTTTGTGTCTTTTAAATGTTAACAATAAATGCGTTTTCTTTGTTTTTGTAGGGCACAGACCATCATGAAAGCTCGGTTAAAAGGAGCACAGACTGGTCGAAACCTCCTGAAGAAAAAATCTGATGCCTTAACTCTTCGATTTCGACAGATCCTGAAGAAAATAATAGAGGTAGGATAAACTTTGCTTAGAACAGGATATCTATTTACGTCTAGGGAAAATCAAGCATGGCCTTTGGCACTTAAAGTTTTTCTCCCTCCACTCCCTCCCCCCCCCTCTCGGATTGGGCATAATGCCTTATGTATGCTAAATACCCATCTTACCATTTGAGGTAAATATCTACCTCCTGTTCTTTCTTTACATTGTTTAAATCAAGTTTTCGCCTATCAGAAATAATAACCCTTTATAATAGGCATAGTAATAGAGAACTGCTGGCATGCGTCCACACAGGGATTTAAGTTGCAAAGAGTTCATTATAACATCTAACTCTGTCACATGTCTACAGAGCCACTTGCCTCTTTGATCTCACGTAGAGTGCTCTTCCTAATGCCCCCTCAGGTTCTTTCCTTGTGTTCTGTGACTACAATGCTTTTCTCTTAGTCCTTTTAAAATTGAGATAGGGTCTTACTCTGTAGGCCAGGATGGTCTTGAGCTCATGGCAGTTCTTCCGTCTCTCAGTGCTGGGATTATAGGCATAAGACATATCTGGCCCCCTAGAACTTCTTTTGACTGGCTTCTCTGGTCATTCTGATGTCTTCAGAGAGGCCACTGCTGATATCCAATGTTAAGTGACTACTGTTTTTACTTGGGTCACATCTTCTTTTATTCTTATGCTAGTACAGACTACTGCCTGGTCTTTTCTTACTTGATGGTTTTACTCCTACTAGAAAATTTAATTTCCAGAGAGTAAGGACTTGGTCTTTTCAGTACTCTATTTCCAGTGCCTGAAATAGTGCCAGCACATAGTAGGTTCTAGTCAGTGGTTATCTTGGGCAATAGTGTATAAACAATACAGAATCATTCTCGAAACTAAAGATTCTTTTGCTAGGTCTTTTCTTGCCTCCAGCAGTCTTACCTCTTACTTCCCCGAGTTAGTTTCTTCCCCGATACTTTCTAAACATGAATTTGTTTATCGTAGTTTACACGTGTGTTCGTGCGTGCACATGCAACCTGCCACAGCGCATTGTGGAGGTCAGAGGACAGCATGAGGAGTTGATTCTTGCCTTCCATCTTGTCGAGGCAGTGTCTCCTGGTATCTACGGCTGACCTGTATACTCCAGACTGGCTGACCAGACAATTCTTGTAGCTGGGATCACAGATGTGTACCACTGTCTCCCTTTTTTTTCCCCCCTGGGGCAGGATTTTACTATGTAATTCTAACTGGCCTAGAACTTTTGATATATAGCAGACTGGCTTTTTTATCCACCGCGCTGTCTCTCTGGCCCCAGTGTTTGTAAAGCATATGCCCAGGGTATTAATATGTATACACATAGTCTTTTAAAATCGCAGTAGTACTAACTTCTGTAGTATTTTTTGCTTGCCCCCTCCATGCCATGACACAACACAGACAGCTTTATATAGCAGTCCATGAATCTGTCTTATTCTTTATAACACCTGTGGTCTTTTTGTGGATAATGGAATAATGATGTGGCTGTCATCCAATGTTTAGTCTTGACAATGCCTTGGGAGGAATAAGTACTTAAATCCTTTGTGTGTATATGTTAACTTCTTTTCCAGACAATAATTTCTTCCAAGGATGTAGTCATTGAAATTCTTTATAGGTAACTGCCAAGATCTTAATGCTGTAAATGATGTACAGGAGGGCTTGTTTTCTTAAATCCTTCCTAACTGGGCATTAAAGATGTTTTTATTTGTTGTGCTAAAGTTGTTATCTTCAGTTTGTGCTTCAGTTATGTGAGAGCTTGTACAGCTTTTCATATACACTGATAATTTGATTCTCTTGTTGAATTTCTTCCCCTTTCATTTGAAAAAGATCATTATACATTCTGGCAAATGCATAAAACACTAAGAATATTTTCTTCATATCTGTAAACTAAAGGACAATTGAGATCTCTTGACTCTCTTAGATTAGAACCTATGGACTTACAGTTGCTAGGCAAGTGCTCTTCCACTGAACTATACCTCCTGTTCTTGAATTAAAATAATAAAAAAAAAACAGCTAAAAATCCTTAATTTTTATTTTGTTAAATAGGAAGTTTGGTCCTCTGTCTCTCCTCATCACTCCTGTTTTTAGACATGGTCTCACTTACAGGCTGGCTGTTACTTCAGCCCTCCTGCCTCAGTCTTTCAGCATTGGGATTCATTGTGAACCACTGTGCCTAGGACTCCTTATAGATCTAAATTATATAAGGCTGAAAAGGGCTGGGAAAATATTGTTTTATTACTTTATAACTACTTATTTAATTTGAGAGAGACTCTTACATTTTTGTGCAATTTGCCCATAAATTCATGGGCTCAAGCAACACTCTGGACTTAATCTTCTGAATAATTTTGACTATAGGTGCATAACACCTGGCTTATAATTTTTTTATTTTGTTTTAAATTTGTTTTGGTTTTCTTGCAGCAGTTTCATGTAACCTGGACTGATCTCAAACTGCTGTATAATGAAGGATGATTTTTAAACTATCTTCTTATCGATCTACCTCTTAGGTGCTGGGATTACAGGTGTATTCCACCACACCTTGCTCATAGAGCTTTAAGACTGATTTTTATTAGTTTGAATTATGTGTAGGTATGTGCATGCCGGAAGAGGCCAGAGGACCTGAGTTTAAATGCCTAGAATCCACATAAAAAACTAGGTGTGATCTCATGAGCCTGTAACTCCATGGTGGATAAATTGGGGTGGGGGTGGGCAGAGGACCACTGGGGCTTGCTGGTTGCCAGCCTGGCTCCACTTTCAATGAGAAGAGACTCTGTCTTAAGGGAATAAGGTTGAGAGTCATAGAGCAGGACAACCAGTACCCTTCTACACATTAATCTGAGACACACACATACACACATCCAGTGCCCTTCTACACATACATCGCGCGCGTGCGCACGCGCGCACACACACACACACACACACACACGAGAGAGAGAGAGAGAGAGAGAGAGAGAGAGAGAGAGAGAGAGAGAGATGGCCTGTTGAATATGAATTGACAATCTTTTTAGGGATGGGTCTTTTTTGGTGGAGGAATGTTGTAAGGTAGGAATTTGTCATTTTGTGAATGGATGGACAGTTTAATAGTCTTTTTATTATAATAAATTCTCACGTAGACCTGGGCTTGTTTCTGAATACTCTGTTCTGTTAACTGTCCCACACCAGACATGCTTCCTTATTTTAACAGATTTTTAAAATTTGTTCAGTTAATTTCCTACCCATATGACCCAGTTTCTCTTCTATTTAAAAAATAAAAATTATTGGCTATTCCCAAGCATCACATCTATTCTAGAGTCTGTATGTCAATGGAGTTTTGAACTCAAGAGAATTTAGAAGGTTAATTTGAGCAAATCAGCATGGACTTAACTCTAGAATAATCGAGTCTCACTAGGTTCAGTTTCTGTTTGTCAGTGAGTTTATTTTAAGTTCATGGTTTTGTAACATTATCAGGACCATGACCAAAACTGTTCAAAATTTGAACTTTATATTTTCTCATTATTAAGTCAATTTTGATGCTGATTCTTTATATAAAATACTGACCATTAAAGGAACTAAATTATGGTATGATTTTGTTGTTGGTTTATGCTTTCTCAGACTAAAATGCTGATGGGTGAAGTGATGAGAGAAGCTGCCTTTTCATTGGCTGAGGCCAAGTTCACAGCAGGCGACTTCAGGTAAGATGACTGAACAGGGTGTTTGAAAAAAATGCACAGTGCTTTCAAATTCATAATTTCATAACATTGTAATTTAAAAATGTCTGAATAGTAAAGAAAAAAATACAGTAATAGGAATACTTTTAACATTGTAACCTTAACCCTACCGCATTATTACCTGCCAAGTGTTTTTTTATAAGTGGCCAGCACAGAATACTTGACATTTTGAAGTCCATTTTCATTTAACATTGTGTCCTAGACAGTTTTTCTGTTTCACAGGTTTATACTCTTAAGAAGTCTTACAATGTATTGACCTTTTCTTCTTGCACCAGATATTTGAGTTGAATGCTAGATTTTTGAAATCAGAGGGAATGAGCTGTGAACATTTTCATGCACACTTATTTTTATTTCTAGGATTTATATTTTTTGAGAATGAAATCCAGTATTCAAAATTGAGAGCTTTTTGGCTTTTATCATGTCACTATAGCTTGACAAAGCACGAATTCTGGTTTGTAAATGGATTATGCCCATTTATTCCCTCAAGATTCTCTAGGTAACTCTTAGATAAGTGGTGTTACTCCCATTTTGAGTGAAAGTGTTTCTGGGGGTACATGGTTAGTTAGGAACAGAAGTGGAAGTTGTTTTCTGGACTTCTTAGTTTTCGTCTAATGACATGGGCCCTCCTTCCTGTAGGAGCTTTTCCTGTAGGAGCTTTTTCTGCCAGGAAGGCCTTACACCTGAGGTCCATGAGGCCAGTTGAGTGGCAGGTCTTACTGTCTGTCAGCGCTGGTAGGATAATGTCATCGGTTGTTCTTACTTTCCCAGCAGAAGGGGACCATTAGTAGAGTGTATTTTATGTGGTTATGGGGAAATACTGTTTTTGGTAACAGATGGTGAGTTGGATGGCTTCAGAAGAGTAGGATAAAGACTTAACAGCAGCTTAGCCAACTGCACAGCAAACCTAGAAGGAATGACTTTTCTTGAGTTTTCTGCTAGGAATACAGCCTCTGAAGTCACATGTCTGCTTGCTGATTGAAAGCACAAGCTGTCCACATACTTTAAACTTGGTTGTCCTATGGCTAGTGATTTAGCTGTTGTTCTGTACTCTCTGAGGGTCTCTGCTGGCACTGATGTGACTTTTTCCTCCTACTTTCAATGCTGAAACTATCCAGTAGGCCCCTGTAGATTTATTTCTGCAAACAAGACTAAATAAATGCTCTTTTTTTTCTTTTTTTTTCCCCCCAGCACCACAGTTATCCAAAATGTAAATAAAGCACAAGTGAAGATCCGAGCAAAGAAAGATAATGTAGCAGGTAACTGACAGACCTGAGAGTCCCTTCGGGGTAAAGGTGACATTTTACAGCTAATGTCCCAATTTCTCTTAAACAAGGACACTTGATGGCATGTTAAGACCTTAGCAACGAACTTGTCTAGTAATCAGGATAATTTGTCTTTTGAGTAGAAGGAAACTCTTGAAGACAAGTTCTTTTTTTTTCCTTCTAGAGTTCTTTAAATTAGAAGCAATCTTATTTTACATATCAATCCTAGCTTCCTCTCCCTCCCATCCTCCCCTGCCCCCCAACAACCTCCTATCCCATCCCCCTTCTGCTTCCCAGGGTGGGTGAGGTCTTCCCTGGGGGATCAAAGTCTTGTCACATCATTTGGGGCAGAGACTACCCCCCCCCCCATTTCTAGGCTGAGAGAGTATCCCTCTACGGGGAATGGGCTCCCAAAAGTCCATTTGTGCTCTAGGGATAAACACTTTTCACTACCAGAGGCCCCATAGACTGCCTAGGCCTCCTAACTGACACCCATGTTCAGGGGGCTTGGTTCAGTCCTATGCTGGTTTCCCAGCTGTCAGTCTGGAGATTATGAGCTCCCCCTTGTTCAGGTCAGCTGTTTTCATTTGAAGCCATTTACAGTTCCAAACTTAATTTCTTGATTCTTTTAGTATTTGACACTTAGGAGACTGATCTGTAAGTTCCAGGCCAGCCTGGTCTACATAGTGAAACCTTGTCTTAAAGAGAGAGAGAGGTGGGGGGAGGGAGAGGGAGGGAGGAAGGAAAGAAGGAAGGAAGGAAGGAAGGAGGGAAGGAAGGAAGGAAGGAAGGAAGGAAGGAAGGAAGGAAGGAAGGAAGGAAGGAAGAGCAAGCCTGCCTGAGCTACATAGGCTGTTCCTGAAGAGCCAGAGTCCATCCAAGAAAAGGAAAACAAGTACTTCACATCCAATTTGTGAATCCACATATACATCTTCATTATTTTCATTTAACAGGTGTTACCCTACCAGTGTTTGAACATTACCATGAAGGAACTGATAGTAAGTGTGACTATCTTAAGATATATGCTTGTAACTGAGAAATACAGTTGTTAGTCACTTGCTATTTAAAAATATGAGGCTTTGTCTTTTATTACCAATTCACTAACTAGACATCTGTGTTATCTCTTTGCTTAAACTGTACTCATCATGGATTGTTTATCATTTCTGGTTTGTGTCTTTTAAAAGTAGAATAAAACCTTACATCCTATGATGCATTCTGAATGCTGGATCTTTCTAGATAGTTTTAGCTAGCTCCAAGCTTTTTTGAAATTCTTCCTTTCTTAATTTGGCAGCATTTGTGAGGATAGTTAACACTTGTTTAGTCTTCTCAGAGTGAAATAGTTAACCTTTTTCCATATAAAAATATTTTTCTGCCACTTATAATTCATTGGTTCATGAACTTTTTCACTGAAATGTACAGAATGTTAATTGTGGGTCACATAAAGGAATAGTCATCTGTACAGAAACTTTCCTTGTACTAATGACATTGACTACTGTTAGCTAATTTGTCAAGCTGTGAAGTGGTTAACTTTCCCCTCTAGGGCTAATGGTATAGCTCTGTGGTAAAGGCTCGTCTAGTGTGTTTACTTCTCTCTTCTCTCCTTACAGTTACTCTAGTAGCCTTGTAAATACCCAAGTTCTGTTTAGTATGTTATAGTGTTAGATCCCCGAAAACTCAAGTATTCGGGGTCCCAAGCCATGTTCGCGGTCACCCCAATCACCAGGCGGATTCGAGAGCTTACTGCAAACTGCACGAGGCTTTATTGTAATTTAACGACCTACCCCTATGTTAGCTCTGGTCTTTCTCTCCCCCGCCATGGCGGACAGCTAGAAAAGACTGCTTGAAGCTGCTGCGCATAGATCTTTATAGGGCAGCGTAAGGGGAGTGTCTAGGGGTATGCACAGGCTCACGATTGGTATGCCTCCAGGCTTGGAGGGCTTGCCCTGTGTTGATTGGTCAACTGGTTGTTATGGCCCATAGGCCCTCCCAGGGTGGTTGCTATGCTCTCTACGTCATTGCTGTGCGCTTGTCCGTAAAGCACACCCAGGGTCGTAAAGCATAGCGCCACCAGCTGACTTCTGATTGGCTCCTTGTCACGCGACAGGCATCTGACTTTCTAGTGACTAGGTCAAGGTCATAGAAGCACATGTTCAGCTGTTATGGCTGCCAAAAGGGAAGCCAGTTCCTTCAATAGAATGTTGTCATCTAAGCATGCAGCCATTCCAATGTCAGTCAGAGACTCTGTGGTGACCTGCAAGAGACCCTTAAGATGGGCTCATTAACCTTCCTTAGAAGAGAAGGTAGGTCATGAGATCCTTAGCTGAGATTCTAATCAGCCCTTCATTCATTTCTTTTGTAGCTGCACATGGTCTCTGGAGGTGCTAGAATATATAGAACATAAAAGACTAGCTAAAGGTGGGGGGGCTCGGCTATGGGGATGTTAACCATGCTAGGAGGAGACTTTTCTGTGAGGCACCTTTTGGGGTCATCATATTTCCATACTTAACTCATACATTATAATATAAGCCCAATAAACTCATTGGTTCACCAAGCTAGACTTAATGCAGTTGTTACCTTGGTCTGCTCATGTTAACCTGGAATGGGTATTTTGTGTTTGGCATTTGCATTTAATAGGAGTTAGTGAATTTGTTTTTCCATGTTTGTATTATTCTGAATCATCTTCCTTTTGGGAATTCATAGAGGATTATTTACTCCCTAATTAAAAATGTTGTCTCATGGCTCTTTCAGGTTATGAATTGACTGGTTTAGCTAGAGGTGGGGAACAGCTGGCCAAACTGAAGAGGAATTATGCCAAAGCAGTGGAACTACTGGTGGAGCTAGCTTCACTGCAGGTGTGTTGCAACAGGGAGCTCTCCAGCTTGGCTTCTCACAGTCACGTGGGCAACATTGGGGCTTGTGTTGGAGCACACTCAACTCAGATGACCCTTTGTGTGAAACAAGCCTAAACATCTGACTTCTGAAGTGGCCAGCGGCTTCAGCTCATCTGTCTTTGCTCTTTATTAGTAAAGTGCATACGTGGTGCTCCACTCCAAGGAGTGCTGTGACATGGTTCCTTTATGTGTATGTGTATGTGGTTCATTATGAGTGAATGCTTCTCTGTAGAAACTGCATTAGCTCTATAGAAATCGCATGTGCATTTTCTGTTTCTAAGGCAGGCTGAAAAAGAGTTAATTGTTTCTGGGTTCCCAAATGTTTTTTATGAGTGCAGTCTGAGTGGGGTCAAGTGAACAGGCGTGACTGATCATGGAGATGTGCGCTTGTCATTAATTTGTCCTTTTATTTTAGACTTCCTTTGTTACTCTGGATGAAGCCATTAAGATAACGAACAGGCGTGTAAATGCCATTGAGCATGGTGAGTCAAAGCTGCTGGGAAGCTCTTTGTTCCTCCCCCGCCCCGTCCACTTGTTAGACAGCTGCCAGGACTCAGGCCCAGCACTCCAGATTGAGAGGTGAGATGTTCCCCTGCCACAGTGGAGAGACAAATGTGTCCGTCAGTGAGAAAGCACAGAGATGCACCCTGAGGGAGTACCAGGTCAGAATGCCATACACCTCCCGTCGTTCATGCAGTTAGCAAAGTAGAAGTTCTATTCCTTAGGAGCCTTAGTGCTTTCTTAAGTTCTGTCCATTGGATGAGTGATTGTTTTGTTTTTTAACACATTAAATCTTTAAATCTCTCCTTTAGGCTATTGTCTCATTTTACTACGTTTATTTTCTTTTATCCCATTATTTTAAAAATACAACTATGTTAACAATGTTCTTGGCTGAAGAACTCAGTTTCTTTGAAAGAAATGTTTATTTAGCCTTAGGTAAGAGAGGAACAAGAACCGAAGCAAAGAAAGTCCTTAGTCCTTCAGTTGATGCCCTGATAGTATTATGCCACCTGAAAATACAGATGGCATGTTACTTGGTGGTGCCTCAGAGCAGGCTTGGCAAATACTGTACCACTGAGCTACACCATTACCCCAGAAACACAGTTCTTGTCTGCTTTTTAGTGTCAGTCTTTGTTTCATTGAACTTCCATCAAAACAAAATGGGTAAGGATAATAGTTCTCAACTTCAGAGAGCTCACATTACAGGAGGACGATAGGAACACTGATATGTAAAGCAGAGAGCGGAGTGACATATATAATGGTCACAGCATTTCTCTATCTTTCTCTCTCTCTCTCTGAGACAAAGTTTCTCTGTGTGTCTTTGGAGCCTATCCTGGAACTCACTTTGTAGACCAGGCTGGCCTCGAGATCCGCCTGCCTCTACCTCCCGAGCACTGGGATTAAAGGTGTGTTCCACCACTGCCTGGCTCTTCCTCTCAGTTTTTAGCCATGGTATTTTAGTGTATTTAAGCTAATGCCTGTGACTTATTGTTACTTGTTCAGGTATACTTAGTATCCAGTGTTACATCTGTTTTGGCCCACTATTGGTATCTGTATGTAGAAAAGATACTGGAAGGGTACATACCAAAATAATTTCAAGGTAATTTTATTTGGCTGGACTACATCTGATTTTAATTTTTTGTGTTTTTTATTTTCCAAGTTCTCTGCATTAAGTGTATGTTATTTCTACAATTAGAAAATAATTACTGTACAGCTAAATACTGGTAGTTTTTTGAAAGGGCATTTAAGTTCTCACATATGTATATTTTTAAACTCTAGTTATCATTCCCCGGATTGAACGCACCCTTGCCTATATTATCACAGAGCTGGATGAGAGAGAGCGAGAAGAATTCTATAGGTTTGTTGAATTGGCACTTAATGGTTTTGTTTTTGTTTTCCCCATACACTACAATCTGGGTTTGCTCAGTGACTAATGCACTTGCATAAGCGGTTTATTTTATTCTGTTGAATAAAAACAAGAAATTAATATTGGGCATGTGGTGCTTGCTTATAATCTCAGAACTCAGAAGACAAGACTGTAAGCTGAAAGCTAGCCTGGGCTATATCAAAACATATACTCTGAGAACATCAAACTGAAAGAAGAAATAACAGCTGTCCCCTTTTCCTGCATTTTGATCTTCCATTTGAGTTTATCTTGGTTAACAGTTACAGTCCAAAAATGTTACATGAGAAATTAAAGACCAAGTATGTAGATTTTCAATTGGATGCTCTTCCAAGTGTCATGAGACATCAAGGTGCTATGCTATTTATTAGATGAAGCATTATTTCAGCTAACATAACCACCCTGTACACTACCTGCTGTCAATCACTTGGTAGTTGTCATCAGAGCAGCTGTCAGCTGTCACATTACTGTGGTTCTTGTATTCACAGAGGCTGTGTTTTCCTTAAGAGGTGAAAATTTTTGACTTAAAACAAAAACGCTAATCCCTTACTGTACTTAATTTTTAAGTTAAACTTTACCAATTTTTAATCACACTTCCCTTCTACTAAGGGTAGACTATGTACGAAGAAGCATACTATGCAAACTTGGTTTCAGATCTTCAGGTCTCAGAGCATATCCACGGCAGAGTGGGGCAACCGTATTTCCAAAGGTGGTGGAGATCCGTATCATGTTTTGCACATAGATCAAACATGGCACCATCAAAAATTTATGCCTTTTAGAAAAACTAGTAAGATTATTCTTTAAAACAAAAGGAGTTGAGTGTCTCCTACATAAAACCTGAGATGAGAAATGAATCGAGCAAGCCACACACTGCACATTGAATACTTGGGCATTCCCAATTAATGAATCACACTGCACATTATGTGGTGAGAAAAACGACGCCCACAGCTTGTTTGTGAAGATTTAGAGCGGTGGGGTAAATACTAAACTAAGTTTGCATAAGTGGAGGGTGGGTAGGTGAGAGGAACGTTCAGGGCAGCAGGCTGGTCTCAGATCTTGAAACAGCTCAGTGTGACATAGAATTGTAGTTACCATTCATTTTCAGGGTTGTAGTGATCCAGAATCTGTACCATTACAGGATGGATTTCAAGTTTTATTCAATGTAGTCTAGGGTATCTGCAATCAGATATTAATAGCTATTTCCCTCAAACATTTTAAGATGACAGAAAATGAAAGTCAGATTCTAATTGTCCCATGTTTATTGCCTAGTTACAAATCCTGAAGACATTCAGTTCCTTTGAACTGAAAACAGCATTTTCAAAGTCCCCTTCTTGCAGGTTAAAGAAAATACAGGAGAAGAAAAAGATTATCAAGGAAAAATTCGAGAAGGAGTTGGAGTATCGGAGAGCAGCTGGAGAAGTGATGGAGCCTGCCAACCTGCTGGCTGAGGAGAAGGACGAGGACCTGCTGTTCGAGTAACGGCCCCTTTGCTCCCTCAGACCCAGCACCAGCTCCGTGTTAACCCAGTGTATAGGTTCGGTATATGTGGCTATTTATTTTGGCATAAGAATTCCCTGGCTTTAAGATTTATCGGGATGTCCTGTAAGACTATTTCTCCTGCATTGTGATTCAGCAACCAGTTATCACAGTTGAATGAGATGTGTAAAACTTGCCCAGTAACTTACATAATTTCCTCTGTGAAAGCGTCTTAGGATTCTATTTACAGTAGCTTCACTGGTACTTACACACATTCGTGGTTTCAGCCAACTGCTGGTGCAGCTTTTGTCCTACCCACTTGCAAACCATGGCACTGTGCAGCCACTGTTGTGTTACTGTGGTCGCAGCTCTACATCTATTTTTCTTTGCACGCTAAGTCTGTCTGTAATGGAAGCAGTTCTGCCCATTTAAATGTGACTTATGAACAGAGTAAAACGATTTTAAAAACATGTTGTTTCTCTTTCTTTTTACTAAGAATGGTGATTATGCCTTGTCGTGACCCAGCATATCTCAGCCTTAGTCCATGAGGTTCTACCTGAGTGGGGGTGTGTGGACCTGGACGCTTCGCGGAACCCAATGGCGATAAAGACCAAACACCGGCATCTTGTCATCTTCAGAGACCTCTCAGTTCCATGTGGTGGAACAGGAGTCATTTCTGTATTAGTCATCTTTTCTGGTGTTTCTTAACCATCCTGCTAATACTACGAGGCAGCCATTTCTCTCTTTGTTTTCTCGCTGTCCTGGCTGCTCGCCCCTTGGCTCCTAACCTGTCCTCCCAAGTTACTCATACCTCTAGCTCCTCTGCCCAGGTGAGGGCCTATTCAGATGCTTAGGCACATACAGATGCAAATTAGGAGGCATATCACCTTAGGCCATGGTAAACAGTAACAGCCTAGTGTTAATTAACAATACAATGGTGACCCGGTCCCCCACCATGCCTTTAGTTTCAGATAAGTGACCCTACTGGCACTCACATCTTTTCCCAGAGACATGTAGCTACGGGCCTTTTCTTATTCCCTATCTCAGTGTGTCACTAGGTTTATTTGAGACAGTTACTATATTTTGGAATACTAATAAGTGACTGCCAGTGCTAAATAAGACTTCATAATTATTTCCCTCTAATCTAAGAATGAGACTAATTCTTACTTTGGACTAATCAGAATACTTTTTGCTGTTTTAGAAGCAATAACAGTTTGTTCTCTTTTATGAAGATGAGATGCCAAAGTGGACCAGGAGTGTCTTGAATTTTCAGTATTGTCTGATTTGTCTTGATTATCTGATTACTCAGACTTTAATGCAGCCAGTTCCAGGACTCTGGGCTTGACTGGGCATGGTACAGTTCTTAGTTATGAGAGTGACACTAGCATTAATATAATCTGATAACTGCTATCACTAGGTAGACTTTTAAAGATGTTAAATGATTTTTGTAGATATTTAGGATTATTTACCAGGTACTTAGTGTTTTATGTGTTTATGTTCTCAAAATGACCAAATAAGTTTTTTGTTTTTGTTTAAGTGGCCCTAGGGAGTGAACCCAGAGCTTCATGCTAAGGAAGCATTTATGTTAAGTCACCACACCAGTCTAAAAATAAGTATTTTAGCCCATTCCATGGAATAAAGATTGAGACACATAGGAGCTTGAATAATTGCTTTTAAATTAAAAAGCTGGAAAATGGTGTTGATGAACCTAAGTTTAAGTCCAAATAGTCTAATATATAGTATTTAGCTGGGTAGTGATGGTACACGCCTTTAATCCCAGCACTCGGGAGGCAGAGTAACAAGATATCACCACAAAAATGTATTAATTTGTTTTGTTTATAGGTATGTAAAGGTGGAGAAATTTGTGTACCACAGTTCACACAAGTCAGCTTTTCCTTTTACCATATGGGTCCCAGGATGGAACTCAAGCTGTGGGACCTGGGGTCAGGCACCTTCCATTGAGCCATCTCAGTGACCCTACCTTCAGATGTTCACACTTAACTTTTTGTCTTTTTTGGTGTGTGCATGTACATGCTTGCATGTGCACATGGAGGCCAGAAGACAACCTTGGGAACTATTTCTAAGGACCTGCCTACCTTGTTTGTTTGCTTGCTAGGCTAGCCTAGCAGGTTAGCGAGCCCCAGGGAACTATCTCTGTCTTTCCCATGCTTGGTTTATAAGCATGTACTACCATGCTGCTTTTTTTCTACATGGGTTCTTGGCAGGGTATTGAACTCAGAGTCTTTTGGCAAACTCTTCAGTAATCTTTCAGCCCACATTCATTTTATTCTTCTTGTTTCTTCCATATTTAAGGTAGCCTGTCTCAGAGAAGCTGATTTGTACGAAACCAGATGTAGCTCATAGGAGAAAATGTCAGGTTCAGAGTCAGTTCAGTACCCAAGTTCATAGCTGGGTAACATTGAACTGTCCAGCAATCAACTTCCCAGTATCTTGGTGAGGTGTAAACTGTACTGTTTCAGTATGCCTGTGGAGAAATTGGGCGGCTTATATAGGTCAAAGGGTACAGGTGGAATGAATACAAGGGGAATGATCTCAGAGGCATAATCCTTGAGCACTGGGCACTGCTTTTAGTTTGAATTTTAAGAAAAACATTGGACCAAAGGAATTTCGGTTTCTCATGCAGCATCAGCATCAGTAAAGCTCTGGTACTTAACTGGGCATGCTTCAACTGTCCACAGATTGACAGGTGTGTTCCTTTTGAAATAGGATCTTATGTTCCAAGGTGGTCTGGAACTCCTGCATGCTGGAATTGTAGACATGCACCATCAGGTTCAGCTAAGATTTTAGAGGACTTTATGGCTTTATGTTAAAAAGTCAAGATTACATAGTGGGTAAATGTTGGGTTTGGCTAGGAGTGAGATGGTCCAAAGGGGACAGATCAGGAATAGAAAAGAAAGCTGGAGTACATTGTTAGACCCCCGGGAGATCAGGCCTCCAGAATCTCAGCCCAGGACTGCAGCCACCCCAATCACCATGCGGAGGCAGAAACTTGATGCAAACAGCACGAGGCTTTATTATAGTTGTTAAACGAGCTAACCCCATGTTAGCTCGGGTCTTTCATTCACCAGCCATGGCAGATGGCTAGAAAAGACAGCTCGAAGCGTCTACATAGAGATCTTATTGGGCAGCATAAGGGGAGTGTCTAGGGGTATGCACAGGCTCAGGATTGGTGTGCCTCCAGGCTTGGAGGGCTTGCCCTGTGTCGATTGGTCAACTGGTTGTTATGGCCCGTAGGCCCTCCCAGGGTGGTTGCTATGCTCTGTGTGTCATTGCTGTGCACTTATCCGTAAAGCACACCCAGAACCGTAAAGCATAGCACCACCAGCTAACTTCTGATTGGTTCCTTGCCACCAGGCAGGCATCTGACCTCCTAGTGACTAAAGCAAGGCCAGACAAGCACGTGTTCGGCTGTTAGGCTGCCGTGTTTATGATTTGTGATCTTTGGGAGAAATGAAGTATGTGCCAACAACTCAAATATTCTCAAATCCCTGGCTACCCCAAAAAGAATTTGCCTGTTAATACCTCTTCTCTCTGAAAAGTTTTGTTTTTTCCAGCTCTGAGTTGGCTATTTTGTCCCTTCCTTCCTTCCTTCCTTCCTTCCTTCCTTCCTTCCTTCC